AGCGAAAGAGAGATAGATAGATAGATTATAAACACATATAAATATATAATACATATCTACACTACTTCTAGATAAGCTGTGAGCTGTATATACTCGATTAAGGAAGGAAGATAAAAACAAAAAAAAGTAAAGAGACAAAAATAAATAAATAGCAAATTTCTGCGGAAATTCTTTTTTTTTTTTGAAGGGATTTATTTATTTTTATTCTGCCGTTTAGTTAACGTATTTCGTTTTTTTTTTCTCTTTGTGTTTTTTAGTGTGTGTACACTATTGATCTTCTCTGCCTATACACCAAATAAGAAGTTATCTCTCCTTTACAGTGGCCTGCCTTGTGCATCCCCTACAAGGCAATAACAATAACAACAACAACTACTACAACACACTTCTTTTTCCTTTATTATTATTATTATTATTATTATTATTATTTCCTATTAATTATCTTTCGTATATATATATATATATATATATATATATATATATAATCCTTATTTATTCCAAATGGGCTCTCATTCATTATTATTATTATTATCACTATTACTATTACTACTATGTATGCCGTTGGTTGAGTCTGTGGAGACATTACCGCCTGGTGCTGCCATTGCTGCTGAGCCGCCCACCATTGATCCCATCAACGGCACTTACAAAGGCGAAGTCGCTGTGACGATTACCCGCAATCAACGCCATGCATACACTTATTACACTTTAGACAATTCCACACCAACCGAACGCAGTGAACATTTTGTGGATGGAGCCGAACTTGTATTAAATACACCCGGTATACATATCGTAAAGGCCATCACGTATTCTAAATATATCGTAGATGAGGATGTATTTCCACCAAGTAGTGTGAGTGTGGCTATTTATAATATCACACCTGCGGCGATTGCCCCACCCGTCGCTTTTCCCTCCACAATTGGCGAAATAAGAAGAGGACGAACTGTTATTACACTTTCATATAATGTTAATACCACCAATACACGAGATTTGGGTATTCTCTATCTTGTGAGTTATTTACCAACACTCTCCACGGCTGGAACGCGTGGGGCCCTTCCACCCGCACCTGTCAATCAAACATGGACACTTTATAAAAAAGGCATTGTGATTGAAAAGCCCGGAACACATATTGTGCGAGCACGTGTATTTAATGCCGCTGTGAATCCAAATGAATTTAGTCCTCGTGCTCGTTTTGTCTATCGACTGCGGCCACCATTAATGTATGATGTGAGTACGGAGTGCTGTAATGATTCCCAACAACCGGTGCTTGGACAAGTCTTTACAGTGTGGGTCACAAATGCCATTTCGCCAATATCACTTTTTCTTAGTTTATCCTCAAAGGGATGTGAGACAAAACGACATATTCTGGATGATACGGAAATACGTACATCAGGATTACGTGAAGTGGCTTTTCAATTTATAACATACACAGAAGCACAACCAAGAGTGTTTGTCTGTGTAAAGGAAGAGAATTCGAAGGAATATGTAGTCGTTCCAAGACAGTTATTATCAGATGAAGTAGTGAATAATAATAATAATAATAATAATAATAATAATAATAATAATAATAATAATAATAATAATACTAGTACAGTAGATGGTTATTCCTTCTCTGTGATAGCCGGTGTTAATGGTAGTAATGTCAGTCAGCCCAGACGCCGTATAGAACGAAGGAATGAAATAGAGACGGATATGCCGTCTGCTGATGAATGGCGTAGTAATACGGAATCAGGAGTTTTATGGATTGGTTTCTTTGTTGGTAGTTTATCTCTTTTTCTCTTCTGTCTATACATGCGGGGAACGAGTCCCGTAACGCACAGATGGGGTGAACGTCGTCCTTCACGTACGGCTTTGCATAGTAATGCTTTGGAAGAACTCGATAGTGGAGGAGATAACGACATGGAAGAACTCGTACCACGATAGGGAGAAAAAA